TGTATATTCAACTTAGAGTGTGTAAGAATGTTGTTAGTTCCAATTCAGGGAAGATTTCAAACTAACTCTGTGAAGAATTTTATAGAGAAACTTAAGTGTTCAGTTATTGCATGTATTCTTTTTTGTGTACCTTTTTTTGGTTTGTTTTTTGTGGGGTTTTTTTCCAAGGTAATTACCATTTTACTGATGTTAATGTATCTAATGGGTAAGTCCAGGAGCACAATCTGTGTGTCTGCTGTCCGAGGTCTCTTTCCGTAACAAAAGCCTGAGCACATTGCTCTCCTGATTAAAAACTTGTAGTGATTCTGATTAGTCAGGACTCTTGGTTGCAATTGACAGAAACTAATGGGACCATTGAAGAATTCCAAACAGCCAAGTGACAGGAGCATATTTGCATTAGAAGGATCACTGTGACAGCAGCATTGTGATGAGGATGAAGGAGAGCCAGTCTGCAAACAGAGAGACTGGGGAGCCAGTGTGGCCTCAGCCTCCAGGATGTAGAAACGTCTCTTTACACTCCAAGCTCCTTCCTCAACAGGCTGGTAGTAGGTTTCAAGGAAGCCCCATGAAAATTGAGTGTTGGCCAATAGAGTGGGCTGGTCCTCCATTCTCCAGCATACCCCCCCCCCACAGAGTTTTTGGGTACCACAGATTGGAATACAGTGTCCTGTACATGGTTGCCCATGTCAGGTGGTGGGGGTTGGAGAGGGGCCATGTGAGTGGTCGTTAACTGCCTCTTCTCTCCTCCCTTCTGGGCCTCACCTGTCTGGTGTGAGAAGGGAGACAGCTGTCAACAGAGGCCAGACCCCTGTGAGACCAGAGTGGCCCCACGCTCTGGTTGCTCTGGTTCTCTGCCTACTTGCTTAACACACCCTCGCTTCCGTGTTCCCTCCCTGCAAGTTCTCTTCTTGGGTGCAATTTAGTACGAAAGACTCCTCTTCCTAATAACTAAAGCAGAGAGGGCACCGTCGTGGTGAACTCGGTGTTCACAACAGGACGCTCGGTCCCAGGCAACTCCTCTCCCAAGTCCATCTTCCCCCAGAAGAGTGCCCCACATGCCAGGCAGACTTAGTGGGTGCCTGTGTGGCAGGAAAACGGGGTTCCCTTTTGCTAATTCTTGTATATCTGATGTTCTTCCTGCCTGAGGTCTCTAAAAGTTCTGATCCCTGAATAATGGCTGCTGTATCCTGGCTTACCTAGAGTCCTTCAGTTTTCAGCAGGGTCGTCATAAGCCTCACCTGAAGGTCTCAGACATTCAGCGACAGAGCTGAAATGGAATTGGTTTTGAGGACATGACTGACCTCAAAGTCTGAACCCTCTTAGACATTTATTTAACTTGGTACCACAGGTATCTACCATTACTGCAACATCTGTGAATCAACAAATTTGTCACATGAAGGTTTTCTATCCTTTCTCCTAGGGCGGGACTCCCCTCCCCCAAACCACCTTCGTTTCCAGCGCTATCATTTCCATCTTATGGAAATCCACAACCCCACTCCTTGTCCCAGATTGCTGGTCTGGGAGGCACATCCAGGCTTGGGAAGCCGGGCTGTCCTGTGCCTCAAGACTAGCAGCAGTGGCCTCTCTCTTTCCTCTTCCTGGTAGACTTCCATTTTTCTTCCTTTTTTTTAAGCAATTTGGAGTTTAAGATCAAGGCCTTAAAGATAACTTTGTCTGCCTCTCCCTTTCTAGGTATTTGCATAGGAATCAGAGGAGTTAATCTTGTGAGTAAACTCTTAACATCTGCTTGTTTCCTTCCTTCTCTATCTACCTTCGGGGTCCTAAAGCACACAGTGTCCCCCCCAGGCCACCAGTGCCTTTGCAGAGTCCACTTCCTCTGCAACAGGGGGGTGGCCATTTTTGAAACATAATCTGGCTCTACTTCCAGCAGTTGAAGCTTGTCTATAGTACAGGCGTGCGCTAGTCAAAGACCCTTAGGACCTTATTGAGGCAGCCTGCAAATCTGCATCTCACTCCACAACTCCAAGTGTGCAGAAAGTATCCCCTTTTTATTTCCCTTGTCTTCATTCACACTCCAGCCCCCATTCAGGCAGCTTTGAGGGGAATGTCATTGCAGTCATTTTTAGGTGTCTTCCCTTCCCTCATGGGCTATGTCCTAGAACCTGGAGATTTCCTGGCACCTGGCAGGTGAGGGACTTGCCTCTGGCCCTCGACACATCACAGTGGTGGTCTGTTGAAGGCCTGCAGCTCTCTGCCTCAAGGCCCCCCATGGAGGCTGGAAATCTCTTGCTCAGGTCTGGCCTCCCTGCGGACACCCCACCCAGCTGTCCTCTCGAGGGTTCTGCACTGCCTTGGGGAACAGAGCTGTGCAAGGGCCCCCCTTTTCGTTTCCAGGTCCGGGGGCAGGAGGGCTGGAGGGGAGAGTGTCTTTTTCTCACCCTCTTACTCGCTCTCTCCCTCTCCCGTCCCAGAAGTTGAGCAGAATCTCCTCATTGGGTTTAGATGTTGAAGACACACTGCTTCTGCCATCATCTGGGCTAAAATACAAGGAATTACAAACCCTGCCACCCGTTTTAAATGAGCTTGAAAGGAAACTGTTGGGAGGACAAAGTTAAAGTTCCAGAGCTGTCCTGCCATGCTGGTTCGGAGGCCGTAATGAAGGCAAAACATCACCCAAACAGTGGTAACTATGCACATTAAGAGAAAGAAACAGATCTGAGAGACAGTAAGCCCATAGATCTTAGAGTCAGTGAGAAGAATCCAGCACGACTCCAGACTTTTTGACTTTGGAGAGGCTGGGACTTGACAAGGGGAGGAGATGGGTGTTAGAAACAGGGACTCGCAGATCTCACACATCCAGATGCAGAGCCCAGTCAGCTGCTTGCTGGCTGTGTGACCGTGGGCAAGCTAGCGTAACTTCTGAGCCTCAGTTTCCCCACAAGTGAAATGGGGTCCATACCTCCTACTCATGTGGTTGTTGACGGCATTGAGTAAAGTGATGAAAACAATGGCCATCACCTGTCAGCCTCCCATAAATGGTAGCTGTTCCTATTGGTGCCAGTAGCCGAAATCGGTAAAGCTGGGGGAGGAGCAGCGACTCTGGAGTTAGCTGTGTGGAGCCCCCTCTTTAGAACAGGTGACATGCGGGACCGCTGTGACACATCAAGCTGAGAGGCAGGAAGATGGACTCAAAGTCTGGAATTTGAAAGAAAGTTCAGGATTGAAGGCATATTTGGGGGGCCAGTGACCTCAAGTAGTTGAAACCTTGAGTTACGAACAAGGTCCCCAGGGATTGTGCTAGAAGGTAGAGGGCCAGGTGCCAGGCCCGCAAACCTACTCACATTTCCCATGACCCTTTGCAGCACGCCCTCGCAGTAGGAGTATCCCACTTAGGGTCTCCACCTCAGAGGTGTCATCTCATGGTTCCCTGTGGTCTGCCTCACTGAAATAAGATTTAGTTGTCTGTACTCTCCTTTACATCTGGAATTACAGACTTAAGAAAATCAAATTTAAAAACTTATTTGAGAGGCTTTTCAAAAACAAACCTTGTACATCTTCAGCCTCGGAGAGTCTTTCACCGAAAACCAAGGCAAAATTCCCAGTGTTTGGGGCTTGCCCAGGTCTTTCCCACTCAAATCATTAGAAATAAAAAAGTCAGTCTGAAGAATTGACTTAAGCAAAAGCAGGAGCAGCTAGAGGTGAATGAGCTGAAACTGGAGGGAAAGCCCTTTGTTCAACTCGGGTTTCAGTGAATGCTCAGCAGGCGGCCAAACCAGTTCATTAGCAGAGAAAGACGCGTTCTTCCACGCTGCTCCCAGAAGCACATGCCTAGAAAAACATATTGGGACAACAAAGAGGTGCATTCTAGAAATCATACGGTCCCGGTTCATGAAACTTCAGTTTTTGTCATCGGTGAAGAAACAGATCATTTCCCCCCAAATATTTTCCCATTTATTTAAAACAATTAACTACAACTAACCTGCCTACTGGGTGCCAATCCCCATTCCTGGAAAAGTGATTTTTCTTGCTACTCCAGAGCTTAGAGACATCTATAGTTAGGAATATTGAATGCTACAGGGTCATTTTTTTTCTACCATATACATTTTTTAATATTGTTGACATATCAAAACCTTTTTCTCGGATTTTGAAATGTCAATTCAGACCTGAAAAACAGTCTGCCAAACTTAGATATGTTCTTTTTCCTCACTGCCTCTTCTCCGCTTTATTAATTGCCCTCTGCTGCACAGGATTTCCCCCCAGGGCCACGCATGCTTTCGGGTTCTCTGTTGCCTTGTTAACTATTTAAGCATTAGACTGGTGCTGAGATGGCAGGTGGGAAAGGCAGAGGGACTTGATCGCCTCCCTGCCTGAGTTCTCCTCTTTCACCAGCGCCACTTACATTGAGCAGCTTAAGAATAAGCTCCTGTGTGAGCCCTCAGAGGCCAAGGAGTATTGTTGAATTCAGAAAGGAATCGCTTTCTTTTAGTGATAATTTGAATATTTTGACAATGAAGCTGAGCTCCTCTATGGCCTGGTTTGCGTACTTCACGTCATGTGCACCCTTTCCAGGGAAGCACAAGAGCCCCCGCCTCCCTGAATTCACAAATTGGTCTTGTCCATTGGTGAGGTGGGTAGGAGCAAACGAAGAATCATCCAGAAGAATTTCACTCCTTTGCTTTAATGTGTTCGAAAGCACTTTAAAAAAAAATTAACATAGGCCTTCAGAGACCACGCTAAATGTTGAGTATTTTGAGAAGAGAGATGTACCATGAAGATAATTTGTGAAGTGTTTATACATGCAAAGCAAGGAATACATTTAAAACAAATTCTCTGGATGCTTCAGACGAAGAGCCTACTCACCTCCAGTTTTTCTCCTGCATTTTGATGGTTATTTTAAAGTTTTAGTTGTCTAAAACAGTCTTAATTTTTCCATTTTTAACTTAAAAGGATGTTCTTATGCAAAATAAACGGACATAGCCTTTTTGATCAAATTAAGAGAAGAAAACAGGCAACCAAATGAAAAAATCACTTAGGTGAGATATAATTGGCTTTGTTTCATAATAGATTTACCTTTGTACTGGGTAAGAAAATCCTGAAAAGCTTTTCCCCTAAGAGGATCAACTGGTTGGAATAGTCTGAGCTGGAAGAAGCCAAGCTTTATAATTAATTGGTGAGCAGAGATACTGGATTCCCAGTGCTCACCAGTGTGGTGCAAAGCTGGCTGCACACTCGGCCCTGAAGACTCGGCGAAAACATAAATTTCCAGGGCCCCAGTGATGCTGTGTCAGTCTGCACAAAACATTTCCCTGGTATTCTAATGCATAGCCAGGTTCGGTACCCAGTGAATTGTCTACTCAGTTTGGAGCCTTCAGCCTTTTCACCCTGCACATTTGATAAATCTATATGTTTATACGAAGCTTTTGTTGAAAGTGAATGCCCAATGGTTATTGCTGACTTTCTTCAATTCATAATTTGTTTCAGGTTCTGTTATTGCATAGATTTGCATGCCTGTTTTATGGTATTCTAATACTGTTGATTTAAAAAAATTCCATTTCCTCTGAGTGCTATTTTGAATATTTTATATAAGCAATTGCATGGGTTTTGGGTTTTTTTCTCTACTTGCAGAAAGCAGGGAAATATTTCAGGGTTTTTTCTAATCCAGTTGCAAGTAGGGCAAAGGATATAACAGAAATACTTAAAGCTCTTCTTGAGCAAGATGATATGAAATATTGAAACTTTTAAGTTACAACATAATGAACACTATCACACTTTTTAAATATGAGATGGTTTAAATGTTTAAGACTTGCCATGGGGTGCATCTGACATATTTTAAAATTAAGGGTGGTAGGTCTCCTGAGGTATATACAGGATTTTAAAGTTTAAAAGTGATCTGTTATTTATTAAAATGTGTGAAAAAGCAGCAGAAAATCTCCTCTGCACCATCAGTTATGCGTGCTCTTGAAGTGAAGCCCCAGTTGCAGGATAAAGGGGGAGGGGTGGGGGTTGGGAATGTTTTCCTGGCTTCATTCACTGAAGATGTGCAAGATCTCTTCTTACAGGTTTGAATCCTCAAACAAACTCCTGCGAGGAGTCCATGACCGCCTGGAAGCTGACATTTCCTGTCATCGAGTAGGTATGCAAGTGATGGTACCTTTTTAAGATTATGTCTCTCTGGGTATGTTTATGAATAAGTGCTTGGAAACACATAGTCATAGTCAAGGATGCGAGGGAGGTTCCAGGTACTTTAAAAAAAGGTTCCAGTGCAGAATAAATACATTGCCCCCTCGAACTGCAAAAATACCTCAGAACAGAATTCTCGAACATTTTTTTTTTTATAAAGCATCCGTACACTCTCCATTTCAGGGAATCAGAGGATGTACTTCGCAACTTTTCATATCCTCTGATGTCCCCCATTCGCAGCCCTGTAGTTCCTGGAGGCCTGGAGGGTTTTCTGCTGACAACCCTGTCAGTGCAGAAGCTTTAAAGCTGCCCTGACCACACTCTTAACCGTGTACGTAGAGGATGTGTAAAGATTGCCCTCCCTTTGCGGAGGATGTTGACTAATAAGCTGAGGAAGATGCTGCTCACATACCGGGATGCTAGGGAATCCCGCGTCAGGCTCGGAGGCTTTATTTGGAAATACCGCAGTAAAAGCTCCTGCCCAAGTCTGCTGCTCTCTGCTGCTCGTGCAGACAGCTTGCCTAGGGGGGTGGCAAGGTGTAAGTGGAAAGAGCACTTGGCCTAGCTCATAACACCTGGGTTTGGCCCCTGGTCACTGTCGTGGTCATCAGTAATGATACTAAAGGAAGCTGACACTTTCGGGGCACTTACTGTGCGCTGGGCACTCTGCTTTGTACAGCTCAGTACTTGCAGGATCTTATTTGTCAGTGCCTATGGGTAGAGAACCGCAGTCTCTGAACCTCGGTTTCCTCATCTGTTAGCTGGGGATAAAAACGCCTTTCTGCCTATCTCACAGGGCTGGCCGATGGAAATTATTAGGCAGAATAGCATGAGAGGGCTTTATGAGCTCAACTGAAATACACTATTGTTTTGCTAAACATTATTTTGGGTTTTTTTGAAATATAATGTTACTACATAACATTTTGATTTATTGGCCAAGAAATTGGAATTCATCCCAATGCGCCAGTCTACCTACTAGGAACTTAGGAACTGAGAAAGGCACTAGTGGTTCCAACTGGGTGGGGGAGGGGGACCTTGCCATTGTATCTTCTGCTTGCTGTCTGATTGACATTAGAAGATTGGGCCTGATAACCAGTAAGATCCTGGAATGTGTCTGCCCGGTACTGGGTGGTGAGTCTGTGGGCCAAAGACAGGTAGGGGGCGGCTAACACACCAGGCAGTGTCTGTCTGAGGAGCAGAGTGGGACAAGCCCAGGCAGGATGGGCAGGACCATCGCGAGGCAAGCAGGAAAGGGAAGCCCAACTTGAGACATCGCCATAGGCTGCTGGGAACGAGCCGCAAGCATGCGGCGGTGGGAAATTGGGGCGTATTGTACGCAAGGTGCCCGGCCTCCGGGGCGCCAGGAGCACAGAGCAGCACATTGAAGCCGCCCGCGGATGGGCTGAGGGATGGACCACACATGTGGATCGCCAGGACAGCTACTTAGAGAGTGCGCATTCCTCCCATTGAATCGGGTATAATTGTAATGGTTTGTTAAACAAACAAAGGACCTAAAGCTGTGAATGGGGGAGAGAAAAGACTTAAGGTGAAAAGGAGAGGAGGCCCCTGCCTGCCTGTGTCCCGCTCTTTTTAAGCTTTCTCCCCGTTTCCTTGACATTCCTTTCTCCTTTCAGAGAAGCCAGTGTGGGACCTTGCAAAAGTTGCCTTGTCTCTCTAGTGTCATTTCCTTTTAAGATGGAAACCTGATGAAATCTTTATCATCTTCAAAAGGAAAAGTGAAAAACTGGGGTCATCCTAAAGGACTAGTGATAAATCTTTGGCGATTTCAAATCAAGTATTTCTGGATGAACAATTCGCTTTGCATCATTTGAATTTATTGGAGGTGACATGGGAAGGCAAAGAGGACATTCCCACTCAAGCACCATGTAGTATTGTGTCTAATAGTAAGGCATGTGGCCTCTGAGGCGGGCAGACGTACTTCTAGAGGAAAGGGAGTGAGCCCAGGGCCGGGAGCAGCAATTGCACTTTCTCTGGTAACTGTGTACACAGTTTATAGTAAAGTGAGTTCTAAATGCTCATCCAGTGAAAAGGCTTGAAAAAAAAACAAGCATACGTTGTCACTTAAAACTGCCAATTACATTTGTGTCCATTTGGGTAATCAGATTTGGTCTCAGGCTCACCTTGCGTGAAAAGAACCATTTAGAGTTTCCAAACAGTACATTTCATCCGGCTGTGCCCTCAGGGTAATGAAGCTATCCGTGGGGGAGGGATAAGTGATTACTTGTCAGTGTTTTCCTGTGTAAAGCAATCTGTTGATGAGCCGTCCGCACTTTCACTGGCTCCTGCTTCCCAGTAGGATAACCCGATTCCTCAGGCTGGTTCCTGGGACCGTTGGTGTTTGGGGCCTCCTCTCCAGGCCCATCCCCTGCTCCGCTTATCCTCACACCTGCATTCCAGCCAGACTGAACCCCCAGGATACCTGCTACCCTGTGCTGCTTCCTGCCTCCGTGCTTTTCTGTGTTCTTCTCTCTGCCTGAAATACACTGCCTCCTTTTTGTCTACCTGTATGCTCCTGGACTCAACCTAAGTAGCCATTATCAGAATTTAAACAGTACGATATTCAAAAAGGAAAAACAAAGAAAAGTCATCTCTGATTCCACCCCCCTGGAGATAACTCCGCTGACATATTGTTACCTGTACTTTCAGGCCTTTTTCTGTTTAGTTAAAGATATTGTTGTTTTAGGATCAAACAGTCCACCCAAGGCTTGCACATCCTTCCCACATCTCATATAGTTTTTAAGTTTCCTTCAAGAGATGTTTAACTCAAGAATCTGGCTGCCCGTCACCAATGTGACCAATCTGCCATTCTTGTTTCTTTTCTCAGTTGAGCTTTTACCCTCACACACTTCCTGGGAAAGACCCAAGCTTTTCTTTCCCCTAGAATGGTAGCGTATTAGGACAATAGGCTCTGTCGCTAATTAGGTAGTTTTGGTTCCTCCGTGCTCTACTCTTAGAGCCCCAGGAAAAGAGATCACTGGCTGGAAGCTATAGAAGCCTATCCTAACAGGGCCTAAAGCCAGTCGTGAGGATTTGCTGGGAGGGGGGCGGGGGGATCTATTTTCAGCCATCACAAAAGAATAGTCCCCATCACTGGCTTCAATGACTAGAAAATTTTCTGATACCAGAGGCTCTTGTGTGGATTTCAAGATGGCTCTCCACCCCTTACCCCACCATGCTACCTCGAGTTCCTTAATCGTCTCCTTATAGCAAGGTCCAGTCCATGGCAGCTGGAGAACCAGTCCTGGACTTCACACTTGCCTTTCTGCAAACGCTTGTTTGTAGACATTTAATATTTCTTCCTAAATGTTTGTATTTAAAAATACCATGCATATGGTGGGGAGAGGAGGAGTGTGGAAGATGTAAGAATCCCTGAAGATGTTTCCTTCCCTCTTTCCTTCCAGAGGGCACGGAACGACCCATTCTGTGGAAGCACTTCGACCTGGTCTGGGGACTGCCGAGCTGTGTGAGCCCCCGGCCTCCACTCCATCCAGGTGAGGGGAGGGGCTAGGGTGCTCCCAGACCTCTCAGTCTTCCGTGGCTCTTTGAGGCTTCCGCCGTTTCCACTGCTGCTTAGGGCTTCGTCCCATCCAGCAGAGACAGAGCTCTGGGGGCATTCCTACCTGCTTCTACCTCTTCTCTTCCCACCTTCCTCTTCCCACCCCCATAAAGACCAGAGTGGCTGGCCTCGACATAGGGTCGGCATTATCATCAGTTTGCTAAACATATAACAAAGAAAGGGTCCCACCTGTGCAAAGCCTACCTTCTTTTAGTAGAGCGGGCAACCAGGCATGGATTTTGAACTATTAGGTCTTGTTTTACACTATCACCAGTTAGAAATCATTTTGGAACAGCTTAGCAAGTTTTTCTAGTGCAAACTTAATTCTCATTTTTCTTATTTTTATCACCATAGACTTGTCACTGCACTGTCTTACCCGAAAGGAACTGGGAGAATTGAGAGGCAGGAGGCTTCTGTCCTCGGAGCCTGTGAGAATTACATGTCCCCACAAGCCTGCTTCCACCCTGTTCCACAATGCAGAATAGATATCCTAAGGGAGGAGCAGTCTAGCTGCAGCCTGCCGTAAAGAAAACAAATTCCTCCTCACCCCCAGGACAACCCGCGTCACCACACCACTCGGGAAGGACAGACACTGTTGAGCAAGGTTGATCGTGTAAGCTCGCTGACAGCATCTGAGGCCACCCATGTAGAGCTCAAGAGTAATTTATAAAGTCGCTTATAGAAGCCAGCTTCACAAGGGTACCTACTTCCCTGAAGCCAAAGAGTATCATTTGCTCTGTGGTCTACAAGACCCCATGCTGTAGGTCTCCCTGCTGCACAGAATGCCCATTAAGCACCTTCAACCCAACACATCTAAAACTAAACTCCTAATTCCAATGCTGTGTTAGATTTTTCATCTGGGACTCATCCTCCCTTTCCCTGTCTGCCACCACTGTCCGCTCTTTTCTCTAACCTAACCTTAGTCCTAATCTAACTGGTCTGTTTACAAAGTGTCATTTCAACCCGTCCTCTCTTCCTTTCCAGGCCACTGTTATCTCTTCTGAGATATGGCAAAAGCCAAATTGGTCTCACTAGCCCGGTCCCATGACTCTCAGTATCTTATATGTCCCTGCCATAATTATTGTAAGTGATAATCTGTTACTTATGAGGGATTCCCATTGCCCAGCTCCTGGTCATCAGTCTCCGTCATCCTTGCCCCTTGTGGTTTGGCTCCTCTAGGTCTTCTGTGGCTCTTTGAGGCTTAGAGTCCTGTGTTTACGCCTTTCCCATTGCTCCTCATTCTCCCTGAGCTAGCATTCTCTATCTACTTCTGCTTCTCTCCCCACCTCCCTGATGCCTTGACTAAGTAGGTTAGACAGTCTACTAAAACATGACAACAAAAAAGCCCACCTAGTGGAATGGAGCAGCACATCACT